TGCCTCTACAATATGTGTGATACAGAAGCATAAAGACACTGGTGTAAAAGGCAGATTTGGGGACAGTAAATGTAACCTGGAATGAGCACATGGCTCCTGGTGGAGACAAAATGTTACGGCAGCCGTTTGTGGAGTATCACCCTGAGCTGTTATGGTAGAGCAAGTGAATGTGTCTCAAAATATCTAGACATTAGACTTTCTCCAGTTCAGCTCAGCTGAGTTACACAACATTAACATCATACGTTAGGTGGAGGTGGTGACAGGGGTGGACAGAGTACTAGCGTATCCACACAAATAGAATTTCTGTTATTAAAGCGCACGTATGATTACAAGTGATGACAACTTTTAAGACCACTACCAAGAAAAATGTTATTACATATCGTCACTGTGTGACGGCCAATTTGGCATCTTGACTGTAACTTGTATATTATAAATTCATCCCTTCAACTATTTCCTCAGTTCAGTGACGTTCTCTAAGCAGTGGTCACATTTGGTTTAGCCCTCTTCAAACTGACTACTGAAACTTCAAAATCCGTCTGATTCAATATCCTGTTTTTTGCTCACCACACTTCATTAGAAATCTATATGAGCAATAGTGTAAAATTTCAATTAAAAGTCTCGTCCCAATTAAACGCCCAGTCCTTTTTACTAGCCCGGTGTGGCTACACATTTTGACAAATAAACACCTGTCTCAGTTAGACGCCTGGTCTGGTTGCCAAGCAGTTTGTTTTTTGTAGAAGTCCGGGTCGTTTGCCACCTCAAATTATGTGTCCATTCCTCTATTACCCTGGAAGTTATTCAGATTCCTTTAGTCCATAAGGCTTCAACAGAATCAAAAGGGTTTCTCATAAAAATTCCTGTTTTAACAGGATAAAGTGGTGTTGTGTCGGTATGCTAGGTGCCGTAATCCTAGATTGATGTCTGTCAGAATTAGATCAAATGAATGATTCATAACTGATATATTATCTGAAGCCTAATTTTTAAACAAGTAATATTCATACTGGTTTAAATAAACAATTTGATTGTATTTTCCGATCTTTGCTGAGCAACAGTTTTGTGTGAAAGGAATTAAAGCCTGTCCCAAATATAGGCCTGCTGAGTTCATTGATTTAAGCAAATTAATAGCCCGAGCTATTAATAGAAGTTTTACGGTAGTAGAAACAGATTTTCTGAAGTAATCAAAAATACAAACTGATTGCAGTTACTTTCTCTGCACATTTAACTATTTAAACAGCAACTGTTTCAAACTGACAGTTATATCCTGAATTCAGCTTCAGTGTCAAGAGGGCGTCTAATAGCCTGCATGTAACAATCAATATAAACACAGCAGAGACAATACATAGTAAAATGAAAGCAATGATATATAGTGAGAGCCCCTGTAATGGATTAAAGAAAAAAAGATTTCCCTTACAGAGTCTATTAAAACTGCTATTTTACTACACACAGCGCAGCTTTCTCATATATTTGTTTGATATTTTTAGATATTTGTTAACACAGAGAGACCTCATTATTCCTCAGAACCTTGTACTGTAATCTAAGCATCCAAAAGTACACAAAGACCGCCATGAACCCGACGCATAAGGAAGCTACTGACACATGACGGTACAAAAATGGAAAACTTAGAAACGCCCTTGGCTTTAAAAAGTGTTCACACACTTTCTCTTTCTCCAAAAAACAAACATCTTTTAGCTCCTCGGGTAAACTGCTGCTATCTCTCCTTTTCCTGCCCCAAGCAACCTCACTTAGTGCCTTTCCCTCCAGGGAGCTTTTTCTTGGCAAACAGGGCTGTTTATTTTACTAAAACGGGCCCTCACTTCAGCTGGTTCGTCTAATTAAAATGTTGCAAAAGCGTCGAGGAGTAGGTATTTTATTTAACAGCTAATTGTGCTGACACCAGGGACTGGGATATTTTATGCATACACTTTCCAGGATCTTGGGGAAAGAACACAATTGTATACACACATATATATACACACACACACACACACGCGTGTGCACGCACGCACACACACACACACACACACACACACACACACACACACACAGGAGATCAGTTTCTTGCTCATTGGTGGGATGAATTTTAAACAGTCAGGAGTATCGAGTTAATCAGTGAGAATTCAGTGGGGGAATATCAGGTTGCTTTTTAACAGGGGAGGATGCATGTATGATTAACGCAGCGCTCCCCATTGGACTGAGCAGAATAATTGTCTTGTTTACCAACAGGTGTTTTTAATCTAGACACAAGAATTAACAATCCTTGTTTGTAAGGGCGCTCAGGGGTTGTCATGTTTGAGATGTAATGACTTGCCGTTTTTCTTGTCAACGGCTCGTGTCATCCTAATTGAGTGTTTCAAGTCAATGAATTTAGAAGGGACACGGAGGATCTACGAAAAAAAACGCTTCATTAGTGTTGTTTTGAGTGGACATTCACACCCTTAGTGTTAATTAGGATGTTCACAATGAATTTGTGTCAATACATTTTTAATACAGCCCTAAAGTTGGCAAACTGTTCACACTCAAACAGTTAAGCACAGTCACAACCACAGACTGATAGGGGGTAACGAGGATTCACACCAAAAATGTCACTGTGTTAAAACATGACAATGAAATACGAACCACAAAGTTCGATCAGAGTAACAGATTAATGTGTTTAAAGACTTATCAAATGCCAAAAACACTGCTCATCAGTTTGCAATGCTCACAGACAGGATTTTAGGACAGGAAAGTTATCACAGCAGCAAGTATTTTTTCTTTCAAAGTCAAATCTTACAACATAATCGACGAGGTAAACGCGTTTGCTTGTATTTTATTGGCGAACATAATACCTTGCTGGACAACGTCACATCATGTTGCAGCAAACAGAAGGCCATGTGTTGTTAGCTGGTACCCCCAGTGTGTCGTCGGACTGTCTCCCTTCAAATAAATGAGAGGGCTGTGTTTTTTCATGCAAGGTTCGATTCAGTCTGAACCAGGCGTAAAAAGAATACTTTGCCTCTTACGTGATCATGTAAATGTCAGTTACTTGCTGCGTGTTATGTTGAATTCAGGGAAAAAAAGTTTTTCTCACATGTCCTGACAGTGAACAGAGAATCCAAAAGGGTGAACAAGTGTTCATGAATTGAAATCATAATGATTTGAGTTTAACAGGAAAACTATATCAAAACTAGGGATGCATAATAATATCGGCACGTCATCGGTATTGGCCAATATTGGCTTTAAAATAAACTATTAGAATCACCAACACGCTTTCATGTCTCCATCTGCTGGTGGCCATCATGATAAGAGTATACACATAATGTGATGTTAATTCCACTACAGAAGAGACCTGATGATCAGTGAAATTAATTGGGTATATCGATATCAGTATTGGTGATCAGCCAAGTAAGTTGATATATATATTAGCATATTGGACATCTGCAAAAAATCCAATATCATGCATCCCTAATCAAAGCATCTGTTTTCAAACTTTCACACAACTCATGTAGTATAATCCAAGTCTGGTTTATCCAGTTGTACGTTCAGCACTTCCCAAACACCTGAATTTTGCTAAAATCTTAAAACGCTTCCACATAAACAGCCAAGTGCACCAGTCATCCGTGCGTGGGACTGTTTAGGAAATACTACGCATACTGCTGGATGAATGGGACTAGGATTATGCCACACGAGTTGTGTGGGTTTGAAAAATGATTTTTGCTGTTAAGCGTTGTCCCCCTTTACTTAAAAGTCCTCAAGAATTTTCTGCGCTTTTGGATTCTCCGTCATGATGAAGGCATGACGGAAAAACAAAGTTTTCTTCACAAATTCAAGGTAACAGGGTGGGTGTAACTGACATACAAATCATCATTTAAGGGACAAAGTATTTGTAGTGACCAGGGGTCGCGTTAACCGGATATTCTCGGTCAATGACCGGTTTTTTACAACAATGACCGGAAAATCTTAAGGCCGTCGGTCATTTTGACCGGTTGCAATTACCACCCCTGCCCACTTGGCGGCGGAGTGCACAGTACTGCAGCAGAAAATGTCATTCATCTGCTTCATGTAGCGTAGTTGACATAACGCCCTGGACACACCGGACACAGAACCGAAGCACGGCGCCCAGCAGTGGAGGCAGTTTTCAGTCAGCGCCCTTGCTGGACACACCGGACGCGTTAGTGACGCGTTAGTGCCGTCCAGTGTGTCCAGGGTGAAGCCTAATGGCACGGGTGTGTGAATGTCTGTTCATCTTTTTGTTCATGTCCTTATTAATGCACACTTTATAACTTGCTTGTTGGATTTATTAAAAATGAACCAATGAAAACTAAATGTCTTTGAATATCTTTATTATCATTTAAAAAACAAAAATTAAAATGACCAGTAAAAATAGATTATGACCGAATTTTTATGACCCTGTCAGTCAAAATGACCAGCGACGAAAAAGTCTAGCGCAACGTCTGGTAGTGACTAACCCTATACTTTAGCTGCTACTGGTTGCTAATTGGCTGAATTCTAATTTTCTAATCTTTACCAATGCCGTATATCATCATACGTTTATTTTCTCACCAGTGTCCATAATGTCCGTATAACTTCCGATAAGTTTCAACACAGCCATATGCATTTTAATCTGAGCACAGTCGAAAATAACATCAGCAAAGCCTGTGCTTACTGGCATGAATACCATGGCCTGCCTCAGCCAGTGGCATAAGCCACCTAGTGGCATGGCGGGATAATACTTTTAACACAAATCAAACATATGGCTCCAACACTTGTCGCCTAAGGCCCTTGATCCAGGTCCCCTCAGTGGTGGTAATTAAGATGGGATGCTTAACTTGTTTGGGGATCAGACTGGCAACGCTCACAAGCCCACATCACAAACATCACTCAAATATTCAGAGCTGCAACTAAAGATGATAGTTTTTGATTGTTTAGTTTATAAAATGTAAAAAAAAAAAAAAAAAAAGTCAGACTCAGAGTCTAGGATAATTTGTCTAAAATACAATAATATGGGACGCCCAGTAGCTTACCTTGTAAAACAGGTGCCATATATACAAAGGCTATGTCCTTGCCACAGTGGATCTTTGCTGCATGTCATCCTCTCTCCCTCCCCCCCCTTTCACTCAGAGGGCATCATATCTAATAAAGACAATAAGACAAAAAATAATCTTAAAAACACAAAAATATTTAATGCACAATAATATAAAACCAACAAAAGAAGCAATTTCCATTCACTGGAGAAGGTGGAACAAAAGGAGGGGTTGTATTTTGCTTAAAATGTACTTAAACAATGACTCCATTATCGAAAAAGTTGCTGATTCAATAAATAAGTTGACTGACAGAAAATTAAGTGGCTATTTTTTTCCAGCTTTACATTATACACATTTCTTGCAGGGTTACTGTCCTGAATAAAGACTGTAAGATGTTACTGTTCGTGGTCCATCCCTGTGGATTCCTTTAAGTAGATGTGATGCCAGTGGGAAATAAATTTATCGTATTTAATATTGTTACTCTCTGTTCTTCGTCATTCTGGCAACCAGACAAACAAGGCAAATCCCCTCACATTATAAATAAAAACTACTAGCAGGATTTTTTCTCTCTAATGAGGTGTAAAAACACTTGGGCTGTGGTCTTTGTGGCTGAGGATGGTTTGAAGGATAGTGTGAAGTTGGTGCAGTTATTGAAGCAGTAAGGGGGAGGGGGGTCCTCGGTGAGAGTAAAGCCTAGCTTGTATTACCTTTTCACACGTCAGCCTGAAGCTGACAGGTTGCTAAAGCAAAGGTATTTTAACATCCAATTTCAACAGTTTTGTGGCACAATTGTGCGAAACTTGGGGTGAAAATGAAAATGGAGAGAGAGAGAAAGAGGGACCTAAACTTGGGAATGAATGGGGGGGTTTTCTTTTTTGTCTTTTATCCTGCAAAGGTGGAAAAAAATACCTGACACACACCAATACCTTTCATCGAGTGTGCGTCTCCCTTCTGTCATTTCTCACCTACACTGAAAAGAAAAAGGAGTTTTAAAAGTGCTGGAGGAGATTTTGTGATACATGATTGCAAGCTACAGGACCACAAAACTTCTATTTAGCTGATGTACCCTGATGTGAAACTGAAAAGCTTGGACAGAATACATGTTACGATGTAAAAACAGGAAAACAACAAAATTGGTTGTTTGTTCAAAGACCTTAAAATTGGCTGTATTTGACATCCAGTGCCAAAGTAGGAAACTGTCACATTAAAAAATTGGGTGAAGGTCAGAATTGTAGATGAGAGAAGAAGGTGTTTACTACGACACAAAGAGACTGGGGCTCAATGTCAAACATTGATTTGCTTTAAGCACAATCATAGTCTGATGCTGAACACAATCCTTTCCTAATTTTAACAAAGTACTGCTTAATAAATATTTCACTTTGGTGTTAAATGTCATGTGAAAGATGATAAATGTCAAAACATTTCTTTTTTTTCTTTGTTTTTTACTGACATTTCTTTTTGTGCACTATCCCCTTTACTGCTGCAATGGTGCTGATTTCCCTGCAGTGGGACTATGAAAGGATTATCTTTTCTTATCTGATCTTATCTTATCTTATCAACTTCCATATGTAAGTTAAAATAAGTCAACGTTGACTTTTGGTTTCAAACAGAACACGAACAGCTGTGTCCAGGGTGAAAGTCCTGTGTTTGTTTGACACCGCAATGCATCACCTGACTTCCTCCTTTGCTCCCATCATAATCAACGATGGCCACTAGAGGTCGCAGCCCATAAGTCATCCAGTCATTCATCCATTATCTGTAACTGCTTAAGTTGCTACAGGCTTGTGGGCAGGCTGGAGCCTACCCCAGCTAACAGTGCACGAGAAGCAGGGGACACGCTGGACAGTTCACCAGGGTAACTGCGTGTCAATAAATGTAGATATGGGTTGTAATACGCTGCTTGCACCGATGACCTAGAGACTTTTTTTTTGGTTTGTCTGTTTTTTTGTCTCTGCTTAAATTGTGAAATTAAAATGAAAAAGACTACAAAGATTTTCAACTCTCATTACCTTTTTCTGACCAGTGCTGCTCACAAAAAGCTAATTAAACCATGAAAGGAATGACTCCATATTTATTCACTTATCTACCATGAGTAAGATACCACTCTCATGGTAAATATAGTTAGCTTGGAATAAAAACAGCAATATTTTTAAACTCTTCTCCTCATATCTACCACTCAGTCAGTAATTCACTTTTCTATATGTACATGACCTCCTGTCTGTGATTTCGAATACAATAAATCACAGCAGACTGAAGCTAAACTTTGAACTACTCTTTCAGCCCTCCTCCCCTCCAGTGAGCCTGGTAGGATCCCGTCCTATTTAGAAAAGGGTTAGCCAGGATTAAAGGGTGTTTCTGTCGCTCTTATCTAGTGTTTGAGCACTTGATCACGGAGGCGTGCCCTAATCCGAACATCGATGCGGTTCCATCAACACGCTCTCCTGGAGCAACTCGCCAACAAAGGGGCTGTTGGGGCTTGTTTAGATGGGGTCCCCGCGCACACACACACACACACACACACACACACACACACACCCTCTCACACACAACATACACACACATGCACAGAAACACACAGATCCCTTTTTAAAGAACACTGTTTCTGCTGTTGCTCGCTTTGATAGTTGATGCCAAACGTCTAATCTCATAAACTTCTGCTTGTTCGCTGCTGACGGACTCAGACTTAAGATCTGTGAAGCGTTTGTGTGTCTGCGTGTGTGCATGTGTGTGTGTGTGTGTGTGTGTGTGTGTGTGTGTGTGCGCGTGCAGGTCTGTGTGTGGTGGGTTTGTTTGGAAATCTAAGTGGGAGATTAAGTCAGGTTGGTTGATCACCAGTGGATTTGTTTACAGCAGGCTTTAGACAGAGATGATAAGCTGTTTATGTCAGATCTGTCATGAATAATTGCAAATGTTTGGGCCTTCTGATGTGTGTAACATGATAGCATACGTAGGATGGGGGCTTTCCATCAGTGCAGATAAGCAAACAGCAATCACGTATCATCTTTGAAAAACACTTTTAATACCATTTGGGCCCTTAAAATTGACAGTGCGGCAACATGCATCATCAACGTCATTTAAACATATTTTTTCAATATCAGGCACCTGGAGTGTTTTTAATATGACTATAGACATATTTTAACCATATTCTGCTTCCATTTCAGCCTAATAACAGATATGGGAAAGAAAATGAATTAACTTTGAGATCTGTAAATCCTTGATTGAGGGCAATGGCTCCCAAATCAGAGATCAGGAGCCCTCTAAGGGGTCACAAGATCAATCTAAAGAAGAGGCTAAAGAGGCTAAATAATGTTCCAAAACTTGGAAATTTTGGCAAGAGAAAGGGTAAACTGCCACTTTTCAAAATGGGGTATTTAAATATTTCTGCATATTAAGGTCCCTAAGCAGTCTTGGAATTGTATAAATCGGGTATGACTGAAAAACTGAGAGTTGACAGCCATATACTCTTTACACTTTTTCAGTTCCGCACACAATTTGACCAATATCTGATTAAAGTAGCCATCATGACTGAATGAATGAACGCACAGAAGATACAAAATACATGTGGAAATATGATTAATTGTATTATATTCACAGGAAGTCTAAAATTTTGCGTGATATCTTTAGTTTTGCAACAATATTTGGGGCAAGAAGTGAACTGGGCCAAGGCAGAAATTGAGCCAAACATGGTTAAAAGCAGAAGAGTTAAACAATAAATTCCACATTCAAGGTAAGATAATTTAATTGTGTTGTTAAATTTCATTAAAAAATTGAGTGCTGGTATATTTGTGTCTATCTCAGAGTTTATATACGTGTGTCTCTACGAACAAGGCAGAAACAGTCAGACTGAGTTTGGTCAAACGAGAAAAAAATGACCCTCTGCTTCCCTTGTGGGCCTGCTGGCTATTTGACAGGACTGTATATCATACTCTTGGATGAGTCGTAATTGCAAGTGACTGTTGTGCTTTTCTCAGAAGTGGTTGTGTGTTGTGTGTGTGCATCTGCGTGTGTGTGTTTGTAGAGGGGGGTGGGGGTGTTTTTGTAAAAATAAAAGGAGAAGTGTTGCGCTTGCTGTGGATTCTTAAGGAAATTGCTGTCGCACACGCAGGGGCTGGAGCCGTGGCTGGAGCCGGGGCCTGGCGACGGAGACAGGAGAGTCTGGCTCCCAGAACCATTACTATGCCTGCTGGAGCCATGGAGGCCAAGCTGTGTGTGAGAGGGAGTGTGTATTTTGATAATACTGCAAGCTTTTGGGGGCCAGGCTGGACACGAGGTGGATATGTGAGGGTGTGCTTAAGAGGATTCAGTGTTTTTAAAGTTACCACTACTAAATTAAAATCATCATTTTCACAGCATCAGTGACTGCTTGTTCTTTGTGTTTGGGGTTTGATCTCCATCTTACATTCATTAACACTCTTCTCCAAATAATATTTCACCATAATCTCCGTTCTTTACAGCTAGAATAAAACTAAGCCACCAAAATCAATTTCACTATCAAATATTAGCCTTTAAAAATCCACACAAAATGTCTGTATTTTGATTACAAATAAAGGATTAATATTGAACATGGGAGTGTGTGAACTGTGCATGCATTTGTTTGTATGGAGGGTCTTTTTACACATCACCAAGACGGTCGTTGTTGAGAAGGTAAGGCTATAAATCTCTACAACGTGAACAGAGAGCTGGAGTCGCCACTCTGGAGAAAAACACAGACTAAACACTGATGACCCCAAAGCTGACCTTGAACACACACACACATACACACACACCAAAATGACACACATGACCATTTTCTGACCTTCTGTCCCAATGGTTAAGTTTCAGCAACAATTTCCTGATTAATGGCACAGCAAGAGGAGAAAAAGAAATGGTGCCACAAAGCTATACTAATGCAACTACCGCTTATTTTCAGTACTGATTAATCATTTGTTCAATACAACATGAGATAATAGTAAATAAAATGGCCATCACAGTTTCCTATAGCCTAATATGACCTCCTCAAATTGCTTGATTTGTACCAACCGTCCAAAACTCAAAGATATTAACTTTACTACAACGTAAGACGAGGAAAAGATGCAAACCCTCACATTTAAGAAGACGGATTCATCAGCT